ATCCTCTGGAATCTGCCTCCTTTCCCAGCCTGGAATTGCCCTGGGATCCTTTGGAATCTGCCTCCTTTCCCAGCCTGGAATTGCCCTGGGATCCTTTGGAATCTGCTTCTCCCCAAGCCTGGAATTGCCCTGGGATCCTTTGGAATCTGCCTCCCTTCCCAGCCTGGAATTGCTCTGGAATTTGCCTCCTCCATGGGGATCCCCCAGCCAGAATAAAGTCGGGGTGCAGCCTCTGCTCCTCCCCTGCAGGTCCCCACTGAAATTCTGGGAATTCCACTCTGCCCCAGCAGCTCCTCCAGAGCCCCCCCAGCCCAGAGGATCCTCCTCAATTTTATCATTGGGGGCTCAGGAAAAACTCCTCCCTTCATTTTGTGTCATTTTTCCTGGATTTCAGCAGCCAGAAAGGTGAATGTGATCCAACTCCTGAATTTTACAAACACGGAGCCCAGTCTGTGGGGACTCCATTGGTAGAAATATTTTTATCTCTTTTTTTTTTCTGCTCACCTCTTTTCTGCTGCATGTCCTGTGACCCTCCTGAAAAGGATTCCTGCTGAGCTGGAGTCATGGTGCTCTGGTGCAAGGCAGAATCAGAATTTGTCCTGAGAGAAAGCAAAACCCGCAATATTTGTATTGTCAGCTTCAGTAAATAAAAGAATTTTCCTCTCAGATAAAAGCCACAACTCGGTAAAACCTCAATATTGTGCATTAAAACCCAAAACTCTCTATATGGCAGAAACCAGGCAGAATTTCCTGGTGAAACAATCAATTTGCAGAACAAATTAGTTCAAGTTTGAAGAGCAATAATGGGATTGAGGGGAACACAGGATAAATTGGTTGCCCTCGTTAGAACAGAGTTTTATCTGCTTTGTTCAGATTAAATATGATCAAATGATGCCATTTTGAAGCTGTTTAGCCATACTTTGGTTATTGTGGTGGTTCAAACAAACATTCCTGTTGGGAGGAGGAAAAGGAATGGTTCAGGATGTTGTGGAGATGGGAATTTTCATGGCCAACACATCTCAGGATGAACTTTGAGTGCGCCACCCTCAAAGTGTAACTCTGTGTTCCTTCCCACTGGAACATTCCCAGCCCCTTTCTGCACCCTCAGAAATATCCAAGTCTTGGGCTGTGCCTGGGAACATCTGGATTTTTAAAGATTAAACTTTAAGGATTTACTTTTAAAAAGGTACCACTAAGTTCAAGTATCACTTGCAGACACCTCAATTTCAAAGCTCATCTCAAACAAGCAAAGTGAGTTTCTGGGTGTCTAAAGGCACCATGGCCAGTGCTGCAGGATGGGACACCCACCTCCTCCAGCTGGTGTCCGACGGCGGGGACAGGTACACGGTGCCATAGGGACAGCTGTCCACGTGGGCCAGGTTAAGGCAGCAACACTTGCACACCAGCAGGACAGCTCAGCCCAAGAACAACCCCAATTATCCCGTCAGAACCACCAAACTCACAGACTCTCTGTGGGGAACTAGGGGGATGGATGGTGTGACACCCACAGGGGATGGATGGAGCTGAGGGATGGATGGTGTGGCACCCCCAGGGATGCAGCAGGAGGGATGGATGGTGTGGCACTCAGAGGGGATGGAGCAGGAGGGATGCTGGGGTGTGACACCCCCAGGGGATGGATGGAGCTGAAGGTATGGATGGTGTGACACCCCCAGGGATGCAGCAGGAGGGATGCTGGGGTGTGGCAGCCCCAGGGATGCAGCAGGAGGGATGTTGGGATGCTCTGGCACCCCCAGGGATGCAGTAGATGTTGGGGTGTGACACCCCCAGGGATGCAGCAGGAGGATGTTGGGGTGTGGCAGCCCCAGGGATGCAGCAGGAGGGATGGATGGTGTGGCACCCCCAGGGATGCAGTAGATGTTGGGGTGTGACGCCCACAGGGATGCAGGAGGAGGGATGTTGGGATGCTCTGGCACCCCCAGGGATGCAGCAGGAGGGATGGATGGTGTGGCACTCAGAGGGGATGCAGCAGAAGGGATGCTGGGGTGTGGCACCCCCAGGGATGCAGCAGGAGGATGTTGGGGTGTGGCACCCCCAGGGATGCAGCAGGAGGATGTTGGGATGCTCTGACACCCCCAGGGATGCAGCAGGAGGATGCTGGGATGCTCTGGCACCCCCAGGGATGCAGCAGGAGGGATGGATGGTGTGACACCCCCAGGGATGCAGCAGGAGGGATGGATGGTGTGACACCCCCAGGGATGCAGCAGGAGGATGTTGGGATGCTCTGACACCCCCAGGGATGCAGCAGGAGGATGCTGGGATGCTCTGGCACCCCAGGGATGCAGCAGGAGGATGTTGGGGTGCTCTGGCACCCCAGGGATGCAGCAGGAGGATGTTGGGATGCTCTGGCACTCAGAGGGGATGCAGCAGGAGGATGTTGGGATGCTCTGGCACCCCAGGGATGCAGCAGGAGGATGTTGGGATGCTCTGGCACCCCCAGGGAGGCAGCAGGAGATGCTCTGGCACCCCCAGGGATGCAGCAGGAGGATGTTGGGATGCTCT